TTTACTGTATATTGCCATCTGATGAATACAACTAACCATAATGCAGAAGAATTATAAGCCATGCTTGCAGTTTCAGTAAAACACAACATGAGCACATAGGTGAGAAAAGTTAACTCTTCAGTTCTTAATGGAAGAGTGATGGAGGAGTGTTTAGGGAAGACTGCTCAGAGAGGTTACGTGCGTGCCAAGCAAAGAAGTGGTGGGAAGGTCACCCAAGCCAATGGCACAGCATGGAGCATGGATGTGCACAGATCTGGTGTCTGGGGAGAGTCTGCTTCCTGGTTTGCACATGGCCATCTTCTTGTTGTATCCTCACATGGCAGAGAGAAAAAAGAGAAAACATACTCTCCCATGTCTCTTCTTATAAGGGTGCTAATCCCATCAGGGGGGCTCCACCTTCATGACCTAATTACGTTCCAGAGGCCGCACCTCCAAATACCATCCCACTGGGGACTAGGATTTAACATGAATTTTGGAGGAACACAAGCATTCCGTCCATAGCAAGGTCACACTGTGAAAATCCTTGCGTACCATATTAAGAGAAAAAATATTTTAGAAGGTCTACCATATTCTGGAACTGATTCTGAGATTCAAAAAATTATGAGGATGTATAACCCAAGTGTGACTTGCCAAGTGCGCTTGGTTTTTTGTAAAATGTGACCAAGAGTTCTTGGTGAAAAATGCATCTTGACTTTGCAGAGCCACTGAGATGGAAGAACTCTGGAGTGTTCAGGCTTCTCAGGAGGGTTCCCAGTGTTGTGAGGTTCGTTTCAACACTTGCTGTCAGAGCTCAGCGCCTTCCCCCGCTCGTCCCAGCAGGTGGATGGTTTCTAACCATGTGTCAGCGTTTACTTCAGTTGACTTAAAGACAGGAATCTTTTTTCCAAGCTGCCCCCATCATGCTTCAACATCTTCAAGCAGATGGTCAGGCTAAAAGTGTGAGGACAGCTAAGATCGTCCAGAGAGGAAAGTTGGAGGAGACAGATATGGCTAAATGCAGAATTTCAGAGGCCGTATGCATCAAGGAGAAATCATGGGTTCTGCAGAATGACAACTGGATATGTAAATTAGTTAAACCATCTACTAGCTGTAACTTTTAGGCAAGTTACTTGGACCTTCTAAGCCTCCTTTTCCCTATCTGTGAAATGATGACATAATACCGACCTGACAAGAGATGCTGTGCTGATTAAATGAAAGACGTGCGTACCATTTCTGACATATAGCAGACATCCCATAAGTGCATTTCCCTGTCCCCTTGCCTTCTTCATAAAAAGAGAGTTTATGATCCATAGTTCTTCAGACTCCCTCTGTGAATCTGGAGCAGCCAGCACTAATTTAGAGCTAGGAAAGTATGCCAGAGCATGCAGAATCTCATCACTGTGCCAATAAAACGCCATGATATATTAAGAGAATTCTTTCTGAGTTTAAGCATTTCTAAATACCTTTCCTGAATTGAGAAAGCAAACTGAAGCAAGTGTAAAAAGACTATTCTCTGTTTGTAAAGGCATCTTTCCCATCTTCTCCAGATTTTCATGATCTATAACTGGACTTGTGTACCCAGCTGGCAGCTGCACCAGCCAGACCCTGAGGTAACCATAGTTTAGGCCCATTTTTTTTTTGTTTTTCACTCAGAGCCTACAAATTCTATTTCAAGCACACACACATACAGAATGCAGATGTGGGAATGAAAACCAGGCCCTTTGGGGGAGTGAGGCTGGGACAGTTGACTGTAGTGAGGCCATAAGTGGTCCATCTGCAGGGACCTCGCCCAGGCATGGTTGGGACCCAGACCTCAGGAGTGGTTTTGGCCTTTTAATATGGCATTAGCAATCACATGGGATGGTCACCACGTCTCCTGTTTGGAGCGAAAACGTTTACACAATCTGTGATCAGACAGGCTTGAAATTTTTTTTGTACTCTGAAGAATGTGTAACAGCATGGATATTCTGGAAAACTAGTTCCCTGAAGATGCTGAGAATCAAAACTGTGATGGATGGAGAGGGAAAATTGAGTTGCTTATGCTGGATGCAAAAGGACTACTCCAATCAAGGAAACAGCCACTTCAGAATGTATTTCTAGTGTGTATACAAACCAAGAACGAGATTACTAGGCTGTTTATATCATGCAGCAAAAGCTCTTATAGCTTGGGTAGACCCCAGTTGAACACTCCTTTTGGATGACTAATAAATCATTCATGCAACAAACACTTACTGAGAACCTACTATATAACAGCATCGCAGGTACTAAGGATACCATGGTGAACAACAGCTGAAAACATTAAAAAAATTCCCTGACCTCATGAAGCTTACATTCTAGAGGGAGAGACTGATGATAAACAATAGCAATGATTAAAATATGAATATAGTATATAGTGAAAAATGAAAATGCTCAGGAACAGAAATGAAGCAAGGATGGGGGTATGAAACATTAGGGAGAATCGGTGCTAAAATTTTGGATAAGGTGGTGAGGGAAGGCCTCGCTGAGAAGCGGACTTGAATGAAGACCTGATTGATGGTTTGGATGGATATGGACCTAGATCAAAAATATTTCCTCCCAGGTTTTCGAGGCTGTTTCTCGCTTGTCTTTGGTTTCTGGGTTGCTGTGGAGACAGCTAATCCCTTTCTGACTCCCAATCCTTCCTTTGTGACTTTTCTCCTCACCCTAGGGAACTTGTAGGAACCTCTGTTTCCCCGCTGCCATCTGGAATGTCTCAGTGACAAGCCTGAGTGTGTTGAGCATTTCATGAACATTTTCAATCTCCAATCTCATGTGCTTCAGTTTGGGGGAAAATAAATTCTTATAATACTTTTTGTAAAACTTCTTGTCTGTTTTTCCTGATCTCTTTTACCCAAATCCCCATTATTAGGAATTGAGATGCTCTGAAATAATTCTCTGTTTTTCCTGTTGGATTTCACCCTTTTCTCATCCATTAGTCTTTTTGCTCCACTTTCTGAGATTTCATCCACTTTCTCTTCTTCACTGAATTTTTCGTTTCTGCTCTCATTGTTCCCAGAGCTCGCTCCTTGTCTCCAAATGTTCCTTTTTTCTTGGACTGTCTCATCTCTTTTGAGTTTCTGTTTTCTGTTTATTTTCATCTCTTCTTTCATGTTAGAGGCTTTTATGACATGTCTGTTAATCCCCAGGAGTCTGTTAATGTATGAGCGAGGCACGGTCGTAGTACAACCGGCAAACTTTTCTATATGATCTGGCTGCTTCACCTTGGGGTGATCAGACAGAACCTGACCGTTACCCTCCAGATTTATCTGTGGTCTCTTCTGGTAGGCCAGTCAGCTTTCCTAGAGGGCTTCCTTTGGTTTCCTGACTGAGGTGTCAGCCCTTTGCCTGTCAGAGGGCACCTCACCCACCCTCCCCTGTGCCTGGTGAGCCAGAATCCAGTCTGTTTGGTTTGACCTCTTCAGTCCTCTTCCATGGATATGGGGAGTCACTTGGGTGGGATAGAAAAGGAGATGTGGGCAGGTTGCTACACCATTAGAAAAGAAAAGAAAGTTCAATCAGGCCTCATGTTCTCCACACGCTCTGTATTCCTACCTTCAGAAGGATCTGGTGCCTCATATCCCGAGCTTCCCTGGCCTGTGTGTTTTATGTGGCATTATCCCCTTAAAGACTTAGGTGTCAGCTTTTTCCCATCTGCTATTGTTTCCCTTCTCATTCCCTTAATTCTTTGATTTAGGCTTTTTTATTCCTCATTGTCACTTTAATGGAATTTCAGGAGGAGGTGGAGATAAATTTGTTACTGCCATATTTAACCAAAAGTCATATTCTATTTTCTTTCCAGTCTCTCCTGCCAAAGCTTACTCTAGTGATAGTAGTCCCTTCTCAGTAGGTTCTCACAAGAAGTAGGATTCAAATTAAATGTCAGCATCTTCGATGGTTGTTTCAGTTGTTTATTTCTGAATAACAAGTAACCCTAAACATAGTGACTTAAAACCACAGCAGTTATTTATTTGCTCATGATTCTGCAATTTGGGCAGGGCTTGGAGGGGGTATCTCATTTCTGTTTCATGTGATGTGGGGCAGCTTACCTGGGGGTTCCCCTCCCAAGATGGCTCACCCACATGGCTAGCCATTGGTCCTGGCTGTAGAACAGGTGCCTAGTGGGGGCGGAAGTCAGGGCTTCCATCTTTCTCCGTGTGGCCTCCCCATGTGGCTCAGTTGGACTCCACAGAAACTTGGCTCCATGAGGGAGCATCCGAGACCACACTCACCAAGAGGACAAGCTCTAGTGTGCAAGCAATTATCAAGCCTCCATTTTGCATCACATTTGCCAGTGTCCCATTGGCCAGAGCAAATCATGTGGCCAAGCCCAGACTCATCAGGGTCATGAATACTGAGAGGCACGGTTCATTGGGAGCCACATACCCCTTGGAACTCTCAAACGCAGTGATCCTGTGCTTGTGTTTTTCTTTGTATAACTGACTTGTTCCATTTTCTTCCTTGAAACATTGGGATGCCAAACTCTGTTCTTGTAAATAGTTTCGTATGGTATAAATACTCAATAAATATGTATTAGAGCCGTAGAAATATTGTAGCATTTCCACTTAAAATGTTTCTGAATGGACTATAAAGGCTTAAACTATATATCTTATCCATTGCTATAATGAATGTGTTTCTAGTTAGTGAAAGACATAGAAAAAAATCACCCTACGGGGGTCACATTCCTAAATACACCTTTCAAGGGAATTAAGTATTGTCTTTTGCTTTAGGCTACCAGAGGTTAGCTTCTTGTCTTTTTGGTTTTAAAACAGTTGAAAATTAGCCTCTTTAACACCTGCCTGGACTCTTTAAGGAAAAAAATGGGTATTTATGTGATAACCAGAGAGTTCATTCCTTGGAAATTCCAAGCAATCATCTCTCATTTACATGCTTTCCCAGCTTTTCGTGAACTTTCCTGCCTGTGGTAGGGCAGAAGGGGCTTAGCTTGTGCTGCAGGTCGTGGAGTCTTGATCTGTGACTGATCGCTGTGTTCATTTTGCACGCAGGGGTTCTCTATCTCCAGTATGGAGATGAAACCAAGCAGCTCAGGATGCCGAATGAAATCACAAGTGCAGACACAATCCGTGCCCTGTTTGTAAGTGCCTTTCCCCAGCAGCTCACCATGAAAATGTTGGAGTCGCCCAGTGTCGCCATTTACATCAAAGATGAAAGCCGAAATGTCTATTATGAATTAAATGATGTAAGGTAAGTAGTCACATCGTTTGTGTGTGTGTGTCCACCATATTGCATTTACCATTGCTGCAGTTTGTACCGAGTCCTAATCTCTTCATGGATCAAGCACGGCTATTCCTTACCCAAGTGTGAATTCACTGTCTTGTTTTCTATAGTTCACTTACAAGGTGTGGTTTGCAAAGATGAAGACAGACTTCTCTCACACAGATTTTTGCATGTTACATCTGAAAATAACGTAAGAAATGATCCAGTCCACAGTTTATCTAAGAGTTAGGGAAACTAAGACCAGAAAGGTGATGGAGAGACTTGATCAAGATCATAAGAGTTGAAAGACGTACTTACAACTGGAACTTTCCAAACTCCTTCTCAAGTGCTCTTTCCCTCATAGACAGAGCCTATGGACATTTTAGGTAATAATCCCACTGAGCAATTATTTACACCAACAAATTAGAATAAAAGCGGTGGACTCTATGCTATTGTCCACAAGAAAAGAGGCTGAGAAACATTCTCCCTTTCCATTTATTTCTTAAATAATTGGCCTTTACCAAAGGATCTCACTTTCCAGGTGGGCTTTCCCCCCGGTCCCTAGTAGAATGTATTCTAAACTGAGGCTAATGGAATCATGCTATAGTAAGTGGCACAGATAAAAGCATCTTTATCAACTGTCGTGCTGTTGTGTATAGAGCAGAAGGGGCCCATCTGACCTCTCCCAGCCAAACAGCCTGAGAAACAAGACTTAAATCAACACAAGCAAGCAATCGCTAGTATAGCCTCTAAACATTTTAGAACTTAAAAAATTATTTAGTGATAATCCAACCGTCTCATTTTATGGGACCAGAAACTCAGATGCATGAAAGTTAAGGGACTTACTTAAGATCACACAGCCAATTCATTTCCAAGCCGAGCTTCAAACCTGACTGTCCATATTCTTGATCAAGAATTTTTTATTCCCTCAGAATGTTCCTTCCCTAACTTATCTGGGCCACAACTTGGATTTCTGGATCCCTGCCCCGTGGGGATAGCAGGCTGCCCTGTGTCTTCATGATTGAATTAATGGGAACCACTTTTTAAAAATACGCCTCTAGTGCGTAATAAATGTAAACTGATAAATATCTGATACTGATCACAAATGACATACTTAGGCGTGTGCCAAGGTGTATGAGTAATTTAGGGCTTTCAAAGTTTGACACATGCCCTAAGGTGTGGGTGCTACCTTTGTTGCACAACCTCCCTGCTTTTAGAAAACATGTTAAATATTCATGGGTATCAGAAAATTCATGTTTGTTTTCTGAAATAAATTATTAATCAAGCTGTCACGAAAAAAAATTCTGAATTTACAAAGCATAAACTGAAACATTAAGTAACCACATTATAGATAAAGAGTATGTTTGCCGTAACAAAATCCCATGGAGTATTTTCATGTGGACATGCTATTTCTCTGCGTTTGCAGTTAGAGGAATTGAAGGAGACGGTAATAATAAATACACATGAAACTACATGAAGCCACTTTTGATGATGGAGCTCAAGGCTGATGAGGTTATTATGAACCATTGAACCCCACTGTCTTGCAGAATTTTTATAATATTACCATGAGTCATGATATTCTAGAACTTTCCCCAAGCCTCAGAGTATTACTGCTAGAATTTCCTGTACGCATTCTTTGAGAGTGTCGTGAAGTAGTCACAGAGACAAATGGGAAGGAGGACAAAGAAGAAAAGATCCCCAAAACTTCCAAACTAAAATGATCCTCTTTAATGCCAATTCACTTGATCAAACAGACGAAAGCAGTGCTTGAGAGAAGTGATCACTTTAAACGTTAATAATTTTCAGTTAATATGTCTATATTTGCACAACTGATGGTCATCTTGATCCTTATGCTGCAGTACGAATAGCCTCATTTCTTTTAAATGTCATTTAAAATGTCTAAGTGGAAAGTCATTGATTTATAAATTTGTCTATAATTTTATTTTTTGGTGTTTTGATTTACATATAAAAATGCATCTAAAATATTTAGGTGGATCAAATGTTTTTATTTGGTGATGACTATAATGTTTATGCTAGATAATCACGTGTATGTCCTTTCAAGAGAATTGTTCTATTCCTTTGCTTATATGCGTAAAATGCCTCAATTATATTTTATTTGAATGGTAGAATAAATTCTCACCATCAGCATTATATTGAACATCCTTTCCCCCCCAGAAAAATGTATCATGCAGATTTTAACTGAAGCCAGGGGCTTTAATCTTCCAAACCCAAAGACAAATTTCATTTCACATCCTTCAGTATTTTTGAAGTGAGAGTATGTATATTTGTTAAACATTTGGCTATTTCATCATAGTGTTGGGTTTTCCATATTTTCCTTAGGGAAATGCTACAGAGAGTTCAGGTTGAAGTTCTGTGTTGTAAATGTTGCCATGGTAAATGCAATCTAGGCTTTTCCTGTTGGTTCATCTTGGATGAACATGTTTCTAAATTCATCATAAACTAACCTCATATATTTTAAATACCTTTAGACTCACGCTAAGTTTTTTCATAGCTCAAGTAAGATTTTCAGTTTCTTCACATCGTCATTTGTGACGTCCCCCCCCAGCTCCAGGGTGAGTTCTTTTAGTGAATCCCCACATCCTTACTGTCTGTGAACTCTCCCCTCCCTAGTAACCTGGCCCCTTCTAGTAACTAGGACTGCATGCTCCCCCTTAAGCAAGACTTCTGATGAGCTCGTTGAAATCTGGAGCAACTGTGCAAGCTTGGGCTAGTCATTGCTTCAAAGCAATTACTGACGGATATTTAAAGAAGGGAAGCAAGACTAGTCCAAGAATCCTCCACTTCGTTTAAAACAAAAACATAACCCAATAATCCCACTGATTGCGATCAGCCCACAGAACGTGTGGCTGCACCTGGAGGAAAGGAATGTATCTTCTTGCACACAGTTCCCTGAGCTCACCGCCGGCACTGGAAGGAGTCACGGTGTAGATGGGGCTGGAAGTGCCTTGGGTGGCCTTTGTGCTGGTGAAAGCTGAATATGGAGGGAGAAGGACCTCATGGACATTCATATGCTCTTAAATAATTTAAGGTAGGCTCTGAGCAAGCTGTGGGACCTCTGTCCTTTGCCTGTGGTCTGACCAGGGCTCTAAATGTTGGGTTTAGAAGGAGAGACAGACAAGTGGAAGAATTTATCTTTTGCTTTTCCTTCTAAATATCCTGCACATCCAGTAATTCAACCTGTATGTAGAATGGTATTTTTAAAAACCCACTATGGAAGATAAAAAGGCATTATAAGATACTAGTTTTGATCTTTTTCTGGTCTGCAGATTCATTTTCTTTCCCTTGCCGAACACATTTGCAGGAAAAAAGCATTTTTCATTTGTGTGCATTACATGAGATAAGCAGAAAACCAGGTGTTTGGGCAAAGTAAACAGTTAAATATTTAAATATTAACCAAATCTCTTTGAACGTATTGTAAATACTGGAGCTTTATTGTTTCTTAAAGTGTTAGCTTTCCTCGCTCAGAATCTTGAAAGTTCAGACACCTGATATTTTTGGGTGGAGAATGACTGGGAAAGAAGAATACTTTCCTGAGGAACAAAAAAAAGAAAAGAGAAGCTGAAGTCATTTTTCTCCTTTTCCTTATTTATTGTTGCCTATTTTATGTAAAAGAACATTTGTCTGGTTGATTGCAGACAATCGCTGGATTGTCTGTTGATGTCTTTGACCTGATTCTTGAGAGCTGGCGAAGGAAATGCCCAGAGTCAGGCTCCTTTCATCTGCCATAGTGATTGATGTTTTCGATTCCAGGAACATTCAGGACAGATCACTTCTCAAAGTGTACAACAAGGATCCGGCACATGCGTTCAATCACACACCGAAAACTATGAACGGAGACATGAGGGTAAGTGTTCCTGTTCTATTTTTTATTTTATTCAGTGGGTCAAACCATCCCTTCTTCTGGCATGTGCTCCTGATATAATCAGCCCCCCAACCCCACTACTGGGTTTCAGGGGTTCTCATCACGTATCTTGTCTAATGACTCATTATTTGTTCCTTGGTAGAGAAATCAGATTTCCCTGTCTTTTGGGGCAAAGGGATTGAAATAGGGCCTGACACAGCTTAATTCATCTCTCAGCATGGAGTTTAGTTATGTCCTCACTCCAAGGGGGATCCTGAGCCTTTACATAAAAGGGTCCTTGGTCCGTAATACATTAACTTACTTAGAGGATCTCTTGCTATTTTTTCTCCAATTAAAACAAAATAATATACAAAAAATGGGGGAAAAAAACTTGTGCACAATTGCCTGTAAAATCTATTAATGTTCTTACATCAGTTATTCCAAGTCCTAGCATTCTAATTAAATTATTCATCTTCTAATTCAAGACTGTTTGCTGTTGTACTATATTAAATACTATCAAATCTTATCTCAATCGTGTTGAGGGCATAGGACAAAAATCTACATGATTTGGGAGCTAAAATTCTCTAGATTTAGATCATCTCAGGAAATCACCCCAATATTCAAAGCACACAGGGATGTTTTGAAGAAAAAAGAACAGGGGAAGTGAAAAGGCATATTTTAAAATCACATTAATACAGGTCCACTAGGAAGGGATTGAGTTTCTAACAATAGTGCTGCGTTTCTCTGCAGTAGAAATGGAAGAGGAAAAAAAAAGACTAGCTTTTCCTGGTGTACCTACCTCTCCACCCCACACACACACACACACACACACACACAAATTTAGAAGGTGCTGTGTGCCGTTTTATATCATCCTTTCTGAAGATCAGCACTCAGCTGGATGCTGGAGTTTAACTAGAAAAAAATAAATTAATAGATTTTATTGCCAAAGAAACCCAGGAAATATCTGTCCTGGAGTCGCAGTAGAGTTCTTGAGGTGAAAGTGTCTCTGTTTCCTGATGGTGTGTATTAGTCATCTATTGCTGCTGTAACAAATTATTGCACATTTAGTGGCTTAAAGTGACACAGATTTACTATCTTACAGTCCTCGAGGTCAGAAGTCCAACAGGGGTCTCAGTGGACTAAAATCAAGGGATCATCAGCATTCCTTTCCGGAAGCTCTAGAGAGAATCTGTTTCCTTTTTTCTCCAGCCTCTAGAGGTCGCCCACATCCCTTGGCTTGTCGTCCCCTGCCTCCATCTTCAAACCCAGCAAAATAGCATCTCTCTGACCCTGCTTCCATCATCACACCTCTAACGCTCCCTCTTCCACTGTTAAGCACACTTGCGATTACATTGGGCCCACCCGATACTCCAGAATAATCTCCTGATTTAAGGTCAGCAGATTAGCCACCTTAATCCCCCTTTCCCCTGTAGTCACAAATTCCAGGGATTAGGATGCAGACATCATTGTTCTGCCTACCACACAGGGTGTGTGCGTTTAGGAGGCCAGGAGATCCAATAGAAAGTGCTGGAAGAATTTCCGTGTAATTCTGGACTGGAATCTGAGTGATGACATGGGGGATCCGAGCCTACACTTTTGCAAGAAAAGGGCTCTTATGGATTCAGCTGCTGCTTTTGTATGTCAGAAACGATGTGTGATTTGAAGTGAAGGCTGTGTTGCTCCTTCAGAAAATTAAGGATTTTGAGGTTTATTTTTAGCCAGTTACACTTTCAATGCAAACCAGCACCAGGTGTAGACAGATTGAGTCATGCGCATCACGAAGCAGGAACAGAATATCACGGTATCCTTTGCCTTTTATTACTGCGTTGTTCTCTTTCTCGGTGACATTCTTAAAGAGTCTTTGCTGCCTTGGATATCTTTATTTTTCCATAGGTCTAGCCTTCAAACCAGAGTTTCTTGGTGCTCAGAGTTCTGTTTCTGTTACACGGAGCTCACACAGGGCCCGAGAATCGCCTCTGAAAATCCTGTTTATGGCTGGAGAGGACACCTGTTTCAACTCTTAAGCAGATGTGGTCCCTACATAAAGACCAGCAGTGAGCACAGTGAGAACCAAATATTAACCATCTGGATGAAGCTTATGAGAAGTCAGAACTTTTGCCGTGGGTTTCCGTAAAGTTGTTCTGTTTTTACTTTTAGACGAGACCCTGGTGGTCACTTTCTGAGTTACCCACAGCCTACTTGAGACAGCAGTTTTTTATCTGAGAAAATCAGCTGTTGTCCGCAGATGAGCAGACAACAAGTATTCACCATCCAACCCACAGGAAAGCTTTTGTTTCGGTGAAGACTCTTAGAAATGAGAAAGAGAACGCAGTTTAAAAACAAACTAGGTGTAATCATGCCTGCAGTTTGTAACTTGGCCCCTATTCACGGATTCCAGAAGCTAAAATATATGGAATTCCTTCAGCCTCACCTTTTGGCTATGAAGGTTGGAATTCTCTCCTTTCTTGATGAATGTTGCTGCCTTGCCATTCAAGGGAAGGAAGCTTTGTTGAGCCCTGTCTGAGCGCAGCTGCATAGCTCCATTGCTCATGGTGAAGAACAGAAATAGAAAATAGAGCAAGGATCAATTGTTGTAGACTAAACCAAGCTGCACAGTGGGTTTCGGGGAGCTCCATCCTTCCGTACGTTTGCAGTGTGTGCATGGCTGTGAAGGAATTTGATGATGACTGCTCCCATGAATCAGTTATGCAGCCCCGCGCCTGAAGTCATTTGACTTCTACAACAGTCAGTTCTCCAGAGCAGTGTTCTGATGGTTGTGGTGTAATTCAGGAAGCACGTTAAACTAAAGTATTAACTCCTAGGTTGTGGGCCTCTGAGCATGCACGGAATATATGCTTGGTGGGGAAGACATGGGTCCAGTTTTCATCTAGCATCTATTTGAGCAATTTTGAGGCCACGCTGTCTAATGAGACTCATGGTTCTCTGCTGGAAATGAGCACACCTGGCTCCTGACTCTTTACACGTGGGTGCAGATCACCCCAATCTCATTTAATTGCCTGGCTTTTGTTTTGTTACATTAGGTAGTAGCTTTGATAATTCAGTTTCCAAGGGACTGAGCTCATCTTATGGAACAGGGCCTTTTTGCAAAAATTATGTGTGTACTCAGAGGGTTTGTAATTCACAGATGCACACCTCAAAGAGGAGCCATTCCATTCCGTGGCTCTCAAAAGGTACCGGTGACTTCCTGTTCATCAAACCAGTGGCTTTTTCACAGTTTCTGGGCTTCCCCACCATCTTAGGTGCTTTGAGTTTACTTCCTGAGATTCTCTGCTCCCATCATTCAGTTCTCTCCCTCTTGTATGTCTTTAATTTGTACTTATATGTAGAGTGCTTCCAGATTTGCATTTAGAACACATTCTCCAGGATTGGCCCTGCATCTTAAATTACTTCCTAATACCCAAATCAGTCACTGCCTCCCAGACCTCTTCTATTTGAGCTCTGCATTTGACACCAATGAGTGGTCTTAGAAACCCTAATTTCCATACACTATCATTTCTAAATTCCGTGCCTACATTGAAACACACCTCAGGCCCCTTAGTTCACTGACTCTTCTTCCTCTTGCCCCCCAAAATGGTCTTCACTGTGTTTAGGCAGGCTTCACCAGTTCGTATGTATGAGTTTTTAAATTTGCTCTTTTTTTATCTGCATCATTTCATCTTTTTTTATCTTTATCCATCTTTTCAGTAGGATTTTCATCCTACTGCTGTAAGTCGATGACCCTTGAAACTATGTCCCTGGTTCTGCCATTTCTCTAGAGTTCAAGACCCAGTTGTTCAAGTTCCAAGTGGTTGTCTTCATATGGATATTCTCCCAGTGTTCCCAGTGTATCCTATTGAAAAACAAATCCTAATCTTTTGTCCCCCAAGCCTTTTCCTCCTTGCTTCTCTATCTTTGTGAATGATGGAGTGACTGTGATGGTGTGTGTATGTGTGTGCACACGTGTGTGTTTGTGTTTTGAAGGGTGGGGAAGAGATTTAAAAAGGTGAATTATCGGTGATTCTTCAACTGCTTAACTCCTGTTTCTTACCACATCCCAGCAGTCAGCGGAACTCATCCATCCCACTGTGCGTGGCCTCTTCCAGGGGGCCCTTCTGCCGCTGCCTGCACCACGGCTCTTACAACAGCCGTTTTGAGCACTGACTAAGCACTTGCATAGGTAATTTTATTTAATCCTCAAGACAACACCTTGCAGCAGGTATTAGGATAAGCCCTCTGATTTATAGCCCAGGAGACAGTGGCTTAGGTATGTTAAGAAGTTTGCCCAAGGCCACATAACTAGAGAGTGGCAGAGCTGAGATTTGAACCCAGGCAGCTGGGCTCCAAATTGCAGGCTCTTAGCAACACTGCTCTGCTGCTGTAGTTACAGCATTCATTATTTTTCTACTGGTCAGTTGTGCAGCCATTTAACTAGCCTCCCCAGCTCTAGTCTAACAACTAGTTCCCAAGACATCTCACTAAGCCCAGCTCCCCATTGTGCAAAGAATAGCACAGGCCAGTGGTCAGTATCATTTCCACCCCAACACCCGAGCAGAGCCACTTCACCGTTCTTACCCCAAGTAGCTGAAACGCTCTCTTCCTCCCCACATACCTGCCTTTCAAAATTCCACCCATCTATCATACTACAGGACAACTGCCCAATTCCCTCAACAGACTGCTTGCGTGAAAAAAGGGTGGCAGGGGACACTGTTGCTATGTTTCTCAGTTCTCTTCTGTACCATAACAACCAAAGGCCATGTGCGAACCTTCTTTGGATCCTGATTGGAGCTAACCAACTGTAAAAGACATCTTTGAAGCTATTTGGGAAATTTGCACATGTGTTAGGAATCAGATGATATTAAGGAATAACTGGTAATTCTGTTGGGTATAATAATGGCTTGGTGGTTATGTTTTTTAAAATGAGACATAACTAAAGTATTTACAGGCTAAATGGCATGATTAATGGGATTTACTTTAAAATACTCCAGCAAAACAAACCAAAAAGT